TTAAAAGAATATGAATTATTTGCACAATCAAAGGTTTAACATGACATATATTAAATTCAAAGCATACCAGTAGATGGAAATACAGCTGATCCTTGAATAAGGAGGGGCCGAAGGGTGCCAATACTTTGGCCACCTCAGGCGAAGAGTTGACTCACTGGAAAGACTCTGATGCTGGGAGGGATTGGGGGCAGGAACAGGGGACGACAGAGGACGAGATGGCTGGATGGCATCACCGACTCAATAGGCATGAGTTTGGGTAAACTCCGGGAGTTGGTGATGGACAGGGAGGCCTGGCGTGCTGCGATTCATGGGGTCGCAAAGAGTCGGACACGACTGAGCGACTGAACTGAAGTGAAGGGTGCCAAGACTGCAGACACTAGAAAGTCCACTACATCTTACAGCTGGCCCTCTGTATACACACAGGGGGTTCTCCATACCCAAGTTCCTCCCTATCCACAGTTCTGCATCCTCGGATTCAACCATCTTCAGCTCATGTAGCACCACAGTATTTACTATTGAGAAGATCCACGTGTAACAGGGCCTACCGTTCAAACCTGTGCTGCTCAAGGCTCAACTGTATGAAAAGTATTAATGAAAGAAGAGTAATGAAAAGTATTAACAGCAGTTGCTTCTGTAAGGAACTAATATGAAGCCTTTGTTTTCTTCCCTTTTGCCTTTCAAAATTTAGAGGGTTAAGCGTACATTTATAAGAAAAAATAATTTTAACCCTTCGTAAATTCATTCTCATGATATGAAAATGGGAGAGGGAACGAACAGAAAATAAAAGAGGTATAAGTACCAGAGACAGAAATGGGGTTCAGGGTATACTTGTGGAAACAGCCATTTCTGGTCATACTACTCTTCTTAAAAAATTTTAAGAAAGCCGTGCGTGCGTGCCAAGTCGCTTCAGTTGTGTACAACTCTCTGCGACCCTTTGGACTGTAGACCCCATCCTCTCTTCATGGGAATCTCCAGGCAAGAATAATGGAGTGGGTTGTCATTCCCTTCTCTAGGGGATCTTTCCAACCCAAGGATCGAACCTGTGTCTCATATATCTCCCGCATTGGCAGGCAGGCTCTTTACCACTAGAGTTACCTGGGAAGTCCAAGAAAGCCATAGCCACATCTAGTCCCAGTGCCAGAATATTAAAAAACAGTAGTCTTCAATGCATGCTACAAATGAGAGTACATTCTCTGACTAAACAATATACTTGAATTTCAAAAGAATGGGAGAACTGTACGAAAAAAGAAACCAGACTTCTGTTAAAATCCATTCGGCTACCAAGTAACAGACTAAGACAATGCATTCTCCCTATCTGTCACATAATGCCCAGTGAAATTCCCTTGTTGTTGCTGAAAAGATTCAGTCCAGAGGAATAGAAACTTTTTATAAAAATCAATGTCAAAGGAAAAAAAATCCCTCCAACAGGAAAAGAAACTTGGAAACCAGAAAAAGAAAAAAAAATCAAGCTGAAAGATTTTCACAATTCAATTATTTGAGTTTCTGTTCCAGACACAAGTAGTGATGCTAGTGCATATGGGCTGTTCTAGAAGCTCACACATATATTAATTTTTAAAACAAAGAGGAAACAAATGAGCACCTATTGGGAATACACTGCAGATGGCTCTCCATAAACATTTAATGAGTGAGTGAAATCATAAGAATTTTTATATTTTTTATGAATCAGTTCTAATGAGATGGATGAAACTGGAGCCCATTATACAGAGTGAAGTAAGCCAGAAAGATAAAGACCATTACAGTATACTAACACATATATATGGAATTTAGAAAGATGGTAACGATAACCCTGTATGCAAAACAGAAAAAGAGACACAGATGTACAGAACAGACTTTTGGACTCTGTGGGAGAAGGAGAGGGTGGGATGTTTCAAGAGAGCAGCATCGAAACATGTACATTATCTATTGTGAAAGAGATCACCAGCCCAGGTTGGATGCATGAGACAAGTGCTGGGGCCTGGTGCACTGGGAAGACCCAGAGGGATTGGGTGGAGAGGGAGGTGGGAGGGGGGATCGGGATGGGGAATACATGTAAATCCATGGCTGATTCATGTCAATGTATGACAAAAACCACTACAATATTGTAAAGTAATTAGCCTCCAACTAATAAAAATAAATGAAAAAAAAAGAATTTTTATATTTTTTAAACACAAAATGAACACCTTCAACTGGGAGAGAAGAAACCAGCTGCCAGGGAATACAAGACAGGTTTCTATGCTGTTATCCATGGGATTCCACCCAGATGTCCATTATACTATAGAATTTTCCTCAGAACAGCTCTTAACTTGTAATTTCATATGCTTTCTGATGCTGATATTTTTCAAATGGTTCATAATACTACATGGTCTTAAGCTTTTCACATCCATTATGTCATTTGCATGGCTGAGATGCTTGAGGAAGAAAGTATTATTAACTCTATTTTGCAGATGAGATTATTGAAGCAAAAAAAAAAAGGGGGGGTTTAACTAAAAAGGCAAGGTTAGAAAAAAAACAGGCAAGGTCACAAGTAAGCTTGAGAAACAGAAGTAAAACCACCCTCTAGTCCTTCATTTTAGGCAAGTTGCTGTTTAAAAGACACTTAAAATACAAATCACTCCCACCCACCCACTCTTCTCCACGATTTGCTCAAGCAAAACAATTAAGTAGACTTTAAAGTGAACAGGAAATGACAGAACCAAAAATAACTGGGGTGTGGTCTCACCTCTGAAAAAGATTTCCAGCTGTGAATAAATGCAAACAATTCTGGCCAGACAAGATAACATTAGATCAGGATTTAGAACCCAATACAACCAGGGGACCTTAGCTATAAATACAGTGACACCTTACTTTCTTAGAATAAACCTCAATATTTCAAACTCAGGAAAATGTAGATAAAAAGCAAGGTAAGTCACCAAGAAGCCACAGCTGCTGTGCTCAAGTTCTCATGCTCAAGTTTTTACATACTAGACAAATCCGTACAATCTAAGAGCTTGAAATCATTCATGTTTCATTTCTTTAAGAGTAATCTGATAACACAGTCATTTATAATTTTACCAAAAAACAGATTTGAATCATACAGACTATGAGGGTGTTCACTTAACCATGGGCATGCCTAGCAATAAGTCAGCACCTGCATGTTAGCTGCATTTTATTTTACTTTACTTCTGTATTTAACGATTTGAAAAAGTCATTTTAAAATGAACTTTATCTCTTTTATATCATTTCCTTTATAGCTTATTGCACGTTATGGTAGAAATTACACGCTACAATGGCGATCAGAATTTGAGATTTGTAAAGGTCTGAGGACTACCACTAAGCTTTACTCAGATCCTATTTATTCTGACTTGACACACTATTCTGGTTTATCTGGTTTCCCTGCCTACTTCAGCTTATAAGTGGCAGATTAGAAGGGCATATTTTGACAGATAAAGAACAGTACTGAAGGAGATAAACTAAAAACAGACAAAAGCACTAAACTGGTATAGCAGTGAGGAGTCATTTTAGCACAGGAGGAAACTGCCAACACCCTTATATAGCAGAATGCACCAGCCATATTAACTGCATAGGACAGAAATTAATGTACATTATGATGACCTTGATTTATCAAAGAAGATTGTTTAATAGATTCTAAATCTTAAGAGATGGTTATATACCCTTGATGAGTTATATACTATGAAAACTGACATTAAGATGGTCAAAATAATTTAGCAGTTAAAGGGCTATCAGTTATATGACCAATTCTCTTAAATTCCTAATGATACTAGACAAATGCTGAGGAGGTAAATCTCAAAATTCCCATTATATTTAATAAATATCATATAGTGTAGATAATTAACATTTATGATCAACACTTATGATGATGACTTTCTGGGTGGAAACTACATGATACATTAACATTATATACTGCAGACAATCAACATTTATGATGCTTAATGTTTCTGGAGGTGGGGGGGGGGGGCTAAGTTATAACTAAAACTCTTCCCCTTCATTGACCATTCAATCATTTTTCTCCACTAAGAGAAAAATGTTTTCTCATCACCAATCTTGGTTTCTTTTCTCCATATAATTACCAAAATTAAAAAATTGAAGTATTTTAAGTTCTCCCCACTTACAACTAACCCCTTTATCTAGAGGTCACTTACACACCTGGATCTTGCTATATTCCCTTCTTACAAAATAGTGCTTTCAAACCCAGTATTAAAACTTAGAGAGCAGAGTTGTACTTAAGTCTTATGTCTGAACAAAAGAAGCACATAAATTAGTGGTTATGCTTAAACCACTAATCTTATTTTAAGGGCAGAAACAACTACGACGTAAGAAACACTTTAGTCGATGTTGGACACCTGAATCAGAGAATATCATTCTCCACGTCTCTGTGGCCAAAAGGAAAATAAAACACCAACAACCATGTCAAAAGATCTGTAGATCCTTTTCAAATATCATAAAATGAATTTATTTGTATTCATTTCACTATATTGTTTCTTTTATTAATGACAGTGACGTGATGATCTGGAGAAAGTGATATTCATACTTTAAAAAGGTTGGGAAAGGGGCAAGAAAGATCTGACCTTTGAGAAGAGGAGCGGTAGAAAGATCTGACTTGGAAGAGCTTACTTAACACCCTGCCCACATCACCCTAGATGGCTTCCCCAAGGTAAGAGACTAAAAAGATGGAGATCCAGGCTCTTCATGGGTTGATAGGATTAGAAACACCCATCCTGCCTGGAAATCCGACACTGCTGGAGATAAATGAGCAATCCCCAGCTAGCTACTGGTCCAGGTGCTACAGAAAACGCCCGGCGCCCCCGCCGGGCAGCCCCGGTGGGGATCCCCGCCTCCCGTCTCCCACACCCTCTCCAGATCCTCCTGGATGGGCGCCGCCCGGGACCCCGCCGCTCTCCCGACTCCCGTCCTCGGCTCCTTCCCTCCCTCCGGCCCCGAGCCATCGCCCGGCCAAGGGCCGTTTCCCGCCGATCGACTGGAAGGCCTGGCCCCCTTGGCACCTTTGATGACGCGTTCGGTGGTGGAGAGGTGGAGGTTCCTCCCGGACATGATCCCCTCGGCCTCCTCCCGGTCCGGGGAGATCTCCAGACGTGCGCCTCCGCCTTCGCCTCCAGTGATCTCGACTCTCCGGGGCCGGTCAACCGGCCGTGCCCCGGCCCCGCTTAATCAGGGCGGCCCAGGCACCAGAAGGAGGCGGCCGCAGCAGCCCGGCCTCAAATCCCACGGACACTGTGCGGGCCCACTGACCGCTCCCTCCCGGGGCGCCGAGTCGGGAGCGCAGGCGACAGCAGATCAGGGAGGCTACGCGGGCAGCCGCGGCTGCGCGCGGCCGGGCTCGTGCGCGCGCGCGCGCGCTCTCGCCCGACTCGGCGCCTCCCCAACTTCCCTGCGGCGCGCGCGGCGCTGCCGCGGTTACCGAGCCGAGGCCTTGAGCTCCGCAAGTGGCCCCGGCCGCTCGGCCGCCTGACCCCCAGTCCCCCGGCAGTAGACAACCCCGGCTTTACCCTTCGCGCGGAGGCCCCGGGCCCGCGCGGCCTCCCTCGGTACACGCGCGCTTCCTTCCTCTCCTCCAGCTTCCGAAAGTCTGTCTTCCCTGTCTCCCCTGCCTGCCCTCCCCTGCAGCTCTGACTGCTTCTCGGCTGCCTGCGCCTCCCGGGCCTGGAGCACCTAACACCGGGCCCTGGGCCCCGCACCCAAAGGCCCAGCGGGACCGCGGCCATCTTGTGACCCGGCCCGAGCGACCCGGCGGCTGTCTGGCGGAGCCGCGCGCGTCCTGTCCGCCTGGGATCACCTTGCAGGGCGCCCTCGTCCTCCCCGACCTTCCCCACGGCGGGGCCTCCCTCCCTTTCCTCGGGGTCTCCCCTCCAACTCTGTCTCTAGGAGTCTTTTTTATCAGTTTGATCCAGCTCCTTCCCACAGCTTACCCTCCCCCCAGTCACCACACCCATTTAAACCCCTGGTTTTTTAAGTTGTCACATTTGTCGAGAGCACTTAGTATAGTGCGAACGATCGCGTGCATCCTAGTTCTAATCTAGTAATGGGAGGTGGAGGGGGTGGTTTCCGAGTGGGTGGATAGGAGCCCCCCCACACACACACACCCCCACGTCCCACAGCCTCCTGGCTTCCTTTCCACTTGTCAGAAAGGGGACCGCAGCCCCCTCAGCAAGTCCATGGGCCAGACCTCTTCTGTGCAGGGAACTGACCTGTAAGTTCTGCGCGCCACCAACACAGCTAGAAGCAACCCTTCCCCTTTGACATAGTGACACAGTACCTGCCTCCCCCCTCCTTCTTACCGTGGAAAACGATGGGCAAGTCTCCATAGAGTCTTAATAATCTGACTCATCTCTAGGTTTAAAACTGACCTTTTCTCTCCTTGAATTGCAAGCCTAGTATAGAAAGTGTTTTCTAGTATAGTGCCTGGCAAAGACAAAAGTCTTTTAGTCCTGATGGTGGAATGTTAATGGAGAAAGCAATGGCACCCCACTCCAGTCCTCTCGCCTGGAAAATCCCATGGACAGAGGAGCCTGGTGGGCTGCAGTCCATGGGGTCGCTAAGAGTTGGACACGACTGAGTGACTTCTCTTTCACTTTTCACTTTCATGCATTGGAGAAGGAAATGGCAACCCACTCCAGTGTTCTTGCCTGGAGATTCCCAGGGATGGGGGAGCTTGTTGGGCTGCCGTCTATGGGGGTCGCACAGAGTTGAAGTGACTTAAATGCACGACTGAAGTGACTTAGCAGCAGCAGTGGAATGTTAAAACTGGAATCCAAGGAAGTATATGCAAATTACAGGGAAACCGATCTTAACAATCACTGTGGTGGCCAGTGAGTAGTCTTAAGTGGCTCTGTACATTTAAAGTGAATAAAACAAATATTTATTTCCTCAGGTGTACTAGCCACATTTGGAGCATTCAGTAACTACATGTGGCTAGTGACTATCTAATTGGATGTGGTCGAATAAGACTGTCCCACTGGAAAAGACCCTGATGCTGGGAAAGATTGAAGGCAAGATGAGACGAGGGCACAGACGATGAGACAGATGGTTCCTTGGCATCGCTGACTCAATGGACAGGAATCTGAGCAAACTCTGGAAGATAGAGAAGGACAGGGAGACCTGGCGTGCTGTGGTACTTGGGGTCTCAGAGTCAGACACGACTGAGCAACTGAACAAGAACAACAGACTAGGACACTTCCATCATCGCAGAAAGTTCTTTTGGACAGCTCCCAGCTAAAAGATTATAGAGGTTAACCCAAATCTCCTTTAACATAGATTTATGTAATGGGACCAACCTAGATAGCATATTAAAAAGCAGAGACATTATTTTGCCAACAAAGGTCCATCTAGTCAAAGGGAGAAGGGGACGACAGAGGATGAGATGGCTCGATGGCATCACCAACTCAATGGACGTGAGCTTGAGTAAACCCTGGAAGTTGGTGATGGATGGGGAAGCCTGGCCTATGGGGTGGCAAAGAGTGGGTCATGAGTGAGCAACTGAACTGAACTGACGGATGTAATGGGAGGTGGTCTGGGCATATGCCCTAGAGTCAGAGCCTGAGTTACGCTTTGCAAGTGTTTTAATTGGAGGTGAATCGCTTTACACTGTGGTGCTAGTTTCTGCGGTACAAGGGAGTGAGCCGGCAGTGTGCATACAGGCATCCCTTCCCGCTGGCGCCTCCCTCCCACCCTGCTCCCCTGTCCCACCCCCCCAGGCCATGGTGTGTGAGCACAAGCGGAGCTCCCTGCTCCCCTCACTAGCCGTCTGCCTCACACACGGCAGTCGTGATCTCTCAGTTCAGCCACCCTCCTCGTCCCACCGGCGTCCACATGTCCCTTCTGCGCAGCTGTCTCTATTCCTGCCTGTGCCTTGCAGTTTTGACCTGAAGGCAACTCACGGCAATTCTAGCAAGGCAGGAGCACTTCAGGAAGCAGACGGATTTCGGTTCTGTGTTCTTGGGTCTTGATTTCAGGCTTTCACCAGAGAGAATTGTTCAGAGATTCTGAGGAAGTTCTTCAACTATGAAGTAACCAGAGCTCCACGCCTCTATCAAACAGAGCAACTTTCTAGTGGTCAAAAATAAATTGGTTCCTGCAGCATAGTAGAGGCTAAAATTCATCTAGAAGAATGTACACAAGATGACTAAAAAAATTTAAGAAAACACTAGAAACCAACGTGAAGAGATGGGTTATTCAATAATAGTAGTGGGAAAGTAACCAGCTGTCTGGATCTCAGATATATCTTTGCTCATTTTTGTTTGTTTGGTTGATTTGTTTTCTTTGGTTTTTGGTCACACTGGGAGGCATGCAGGATCTTAGTTCCCTGACTGGGGATCAAACACATGCCTCCTGCAGTGCAAGTGCAGAGTCTTAACCACTGGACTGAGCTAAGTCCTTGGATCTCAAAGGACTGAGTCCTTGGATCTCAAAGTGGAGCCACATTTTAACACCAAACTTCATAAGTAATAAATATGAGAATTAAATCAAGGTGTTATTTTTTTACATAGAAAATTGGAAAATATTTTTATTTTCATAGTTTAAGGAAGTCACTACATTTTATTCCTTGATGTTATAGATTTAACAACATATCGGTAGCAACATGTAACTTCTCACATGGATTAGACATCAAGAGACCAGTTTATGTATATAAACTTAAAACACTGAAAACGAATACATTCAGCTATTATGGAACTTACAACAAATACAAACTTGTTAACAACTTTCCAGAAAGCACACAAGACAGTATTAATAAAGAGTGGTCTTTTGCATCATTTTCAAAAATTCTCCCTTGTTTATTTCTCCATCCCCATCATGATCAGCCTCATCAGCATTTCCTGAAGCTCATCATCTGTTAAATCTTCCCCTAGTTCCTCAGCAACCCTCTCGATATTGTTCAGTGATACACTTCCTGTATCATCATCATCAAATAATTTGAAAGCCTTCAGTATTTCTTCTTTTTCATCCTTTTCACTCATTTTTACACTCATCATGGCAAAAAATTCTTCAAAACTAATGGTGCCAATTCCTTCTTTGTCAGTTTCAGCTATCATCTTTTTAATTTCTTCTTTCTTTGGCTCAAATCCTAAGGCCCGCATTGCAATCATGTCTCCAACCGGCCAGGACCTCCCAGCATTACCCACCAGCCGAGCTGCCCAACAGTAGCACACCGCCCGTCAGAAAATTGGAAAATATTTTTAAAAGGTGATACTGTTGGTAGTACATCATGAGAAACGCTGGGCTGGAGGAAGCACAAGCTGGAATCAAGCTTCCTGGGAGAAATATCAATAACCTCAGATACACAGATGACACCACCCTTATGGCAAAAAGTGAAGAAGAACTAAAGAGCCTCTTCATGAAAGTGAAAGAGGAGAGTGAAAAAGTTGGCTTAAAGCTCAACATTCAGAAAACTAAGATCATGGCATCATTTCATGGCAAATAGATGGGGAAACAGTGGCTGACTTTATTTTTCTGGGCTCCAAAATCACTGCAGATGGTGACTGCAGCCATGAAATTAAAAGACGCTTACTCCTTGGAAGGAAAGTTATGACCAACCTAGACAGCATATTGAAAGGAAGAGACATTACTTTGTCAACAAAGGTCTGTCTAGTCAAGGCTACGGTTTTTCCAGTGGTCATGTATGGATGTGAGAGTTGGACTATAAAGAAAGCTGAAAGCTGAAGAATTGATGCTTTTGAACTGTAGTGTTGGAGAAGACTCTTGAGAGTCCCTTGGACTGCAAGGAGATCCAACCAGTCCATCCTAAAGGAGATTAGTCCTGAATATTCATTGGAAGGAGTGATGCTGAAGCTGAAACTCCAATACTTTGGCCACCTGATGAGGAGAGCTGATTCATTTGAAAACACCCTGATGCTGGGAAAGATTGAGGGCAGGAGGAGAAGGGGATGACAGAGGATGAGATGGTTGGATGGCATCACCGACTCACTGGACATGGGTTTGGGTGGACTCCGGGAGTTGGTGATGGACAGGGAGGCCTGGCGTGCTACGGTTCATGGGGTGGCAAAGAATCGGACACGACTGAGCGACTGAACTGAACT